GCGTTCCAATCATGCTGAAGGTTCTGTGATCGGTCCAGATAGATTGTAGGCCGGTGGGACGTTCCAGTCAGGTTGAAGGCTCTATATGCATGTTTTTTGTTGTTTATGTTATCTGTTGTGTGTTGGTACTTTGGGGGAACTCACTAAGCTTTGTGCTTACAGTTTTTGGTTTATGGTTTCAGGTGTTACAGAGATTTGTGGCAAGGCGGAGGTGTGACCGTACACATCCTGATTTATGTCAGAGGCACATATTTTCAAATAATGTTTTGAGAACACCATTTTGTGAACATTTTATTAGTAAAACGATCATTTTGAAAAGTTTAAAATTGTTGAAATTTTTGGGATGTTACAAATACGATTCTGTGGATATTGAGAACGTCGAAAACGTAGTTTGTATGCTAAAGTTACGACCATTTAAAGAAAATGAACAGTCAAATATTAGTCTGCGGTCTGTAACGACCAAAAATGACATTTCAAACGCTTTGTGGGGTACTTTAAAATGTGAATTTTCAATCCCAAACAACTTTCCCATGAACCCCAATAGATCTAGTATTTTATTTTAAAGCCGACTCATTTTGCCCAAAAAACCCAACACTGATGTGGATAAGAACGAAACCGCACAACGTAGGCTTTCCCATAACGAATCTTCAAAAGATTCATTTACATAGCTATGCAAATCGTTCGGTGAATATGCTAACATTTATAAATAAGGAAATACTCTAGTATTTGATTCTATTTTCAAAATTTTATTCTTACGAAGTTTTTATGCTTTCGTGAAAAAACAGTCAAAACACTGAAATCGGGAAACCCCCAACAATTCACTTAAAACGCTTTGTTAACATAGATAAGCTATTCTTTATATGTATTTTTTACATATTCCGAACTTTAATTTCGTAGACATCTAACTTGTGTTTTCAGAAAAAACATGAGGTGTCGGTTTTCTTCGCGCTGCGGCAAGTGGTTCGAGGAAACAACACTTTGTGCGTTTCTAGCCATCCACATCACTAAAAACTTTCTATAAATAGGGAGAGAAATCATATCTATCATCCTCACACCTTCATTCTCTCTCTCTATATCGCTTTCTCTCTCTCTCTCTCTCTCTATCTCTATCTCTCTCTCTTTCAAACTTATGTGACTCGCCGCTATTGAGCAACACCTCCCGTCGCCGTGTTCCGCCACCACCGGCCACCGACGCACCTCCAGACCACCCCATTCCTCTGAAGACCCCCAACCTCTGGTGCAGGAGCAGGTCTTCCATCCCCAAAAACTTTTGCCAGAGTTGATTCTCTAGTGAGAAAAATCGACATCGATAGGCTGTCTGAGGACCGAGGTTTTTTCCGAGCAGTTACCCGGCAACGTTTTTCCAAGATTTTCCAGATCTGATACGAAGTTATCTCAAGGTAACTTTCACCCTCTCGTAATGGAACTTCGTCCGGTTAATTTTCGATACGTCATGACTTTTCCAAAACGATAAAGAACGCTTCGATGATGAGTATTCACTTTCCCATTTTCCACCTCTTTAATGTTATCGGGGGAGAATACTTCCTTATAACTGTATTTATATTTATATAGATATCATTTATTATTTATATAGATTTAAATTACCTTTTATGTGTAATAAACTAGTGTTTATTTATAACTGATATATGTGATTATTGGAACTTTATTTACATAACTAGGATGATGGTTATGCTTTTTATAAAACCTGGTTATAAGCTTTCACAACCGTTATGTTTCCCAAAAATATCGTTTTTGAACATTTAAAGTGATTACGTTGTCCAAATTTGGTTATAAACTTTATAAAGTAATTATACTCTAGCAAACTTTTGCTTGTTTTGTTAATTAATTAATAGTAAATAAAAGGAATACGAAATATTCCAGAATGATTCGAATACCATAGATAATTATTATTATACTTGGTAATTATCTCTAGACTTTCAAATCACCTCACTATAAATAAATGGCTCGAAATCCGATTTTGACACAAGTAAAAAATACATTTCAGCTACCAGAACTCGGAACCCTCTCAACCCCTTGAATCGCAAACCACCCAGTTTCCACTGCGTAGACATTGATTAAGGGTGGCAACTCTCGACCCAACCCGTAACCCGACACTGACCCAACCCGAAAATAAACGGGTTTCGGTTGAGATTTTTGACCCGCCAACCCTTCAATCCGTTTATTTCAAGGGTTAGGTTGGGTTACCTGTTTGGGTTCGCGGGTCAACCCGCCTACCCGTATATATATATATATATATATATATATATATATATATATATATATATATATATATATATATATATATATATATTACATTTACAAAAATTAGATATATTTAATTACTAATGAAATCTGATATCCTTCCGTATTCGTAATATTTTATATCATTGTATTCCTTCCATATTTGTATAATCATGTGGCTAATTTTTGTGGTGCCCTAATAAAAAAAGAAAACACACGTACTCATGAGTCACGAACACAGAACGCATCCACCAGACCACCACTGGCCGGCGGCCGCTCCTCACTTCCTCACCCCGTCATCTGATCATCACCGGTTCGCCGATCTCCTACTAACCACCTGTCATCGACTCATCGGCTACTCAGCTCGAACACCATCAACTGACAGGAGAAAAGTCGGAAAACACACAAATCGACCACTCTCGCTCACTCGCTCCTATGCTCTACTCTGACTCTAAATCGACCCACCTCCTGTGATCCCGCGAACCCATATACTTAAATGCATTATATGGGTTAGGTTGAGTTGAGGTTTCCAACCTGTCAACCCGCCAAACCATATATTATATGGTTTGGGTTGATTTTATGTTTTCTGACCCGCCTACCCGCCAGCCCGTGACCCACCAACCCGAACCCAACCTGATTACCAGACTAACATTGATCTTCCACAATGTGGCGAGACACAGATTCGAGTTCTTTGAATCTGTTTGATGTTGGAGTTCCAAGCTTGGTAAGATCTGTTAGAGTTTTGCTTCTTGGGTGCGATTACAAAAGAGGAACTCTACTTTCGGGTTCTCTAGTCTAATCTACGGGCTCGTTAAAAGAAGAAACCTACAATATCAAAGGTATGTTTTTTTGATTTATTGAGTTCTAATAAGTTGCATAGATTAGTTGAGTGTAGATCATATTGTTTGTTGTTTCCGCTACCATTTATTTGATCTAATGAGGCTCGAAACCCATTAATTGTTATGGGTATTCTAGCTTACTATTTTATAACTTGAACTTGTACTAACATCCCGAGCAAGCCCATGATCTTGGATTTAATCAATATCTTGGATTGTTATCATATTTCTTGTAATATCTTGTGCAAAAATTAAGAGCTTGACTAGATAGGAATGGACTAGGTCAAATCACACGTGGTGAATGCCTCATGAATGTTAAAGACCATCGTAAAATTCAGGGTCAAGCATGGATCAAGGAAGATCCCAAGAATGCTAGAATTTTAGTTATTATTGTTATGTATATAAAGCCTAGCTGATCATCATTCATACCCACGATCTAATTGGCACTTTCACTCTAATTTTCTTGAAACTTGAGCCCTTTTACATCATTTCTAAGATCAACTAGCATATGTAATTTTATTTTGATTAAAATAAGTTCTAAGGCAAGTGATTTCATCACCTCCCGATGTTTTATGTCGGAGATCCAAAAGGATTAAGGGTTTTCCTCGTAATTTTTTGTGTTCCTACATTTACTTTCATTTACTTACGGTTGTTTGATCGATAGCAACTTATTCTACTATTTACTATATTGTTATTCTGTTTTCATTGTCGAAATTACAAAAATACGTTGTGATATCTTGGTAACTTTTTTAAGTATCTTAAGCTTTATTATACAAATTCACTTGTTAAATCACTTTCACACTATTTTTGTCCCAAATTCACTTCATTTCATTACGAAATAACACAATTTTATTAAGCAGTTTTCTGAACTTTATTATTTTCTACCCAAGATCTTGGGCACAACAAAGATCTTTGGGATATTTCAAGATCTTAAGCACTTTACTTCCACTAACCTTATTTCAAACATTACACCATACTTACTAATTTGGTTACGAAATTAGTTTGTTAATTTTGACCAAAAAACATATTACTTTAGATTACTCTAGTTATTAGCGTTAAAAGTAATATATTTCTACTTACAATTTTATAAAAAAAACGTTTATACATACATTCATAAAAACCGTGTGCATATAAAGATTGTAAGTAAAAATATATTACTTTTTAACATGAGTAATCTAAACAAAAGTTGTAGTAGACTCAAATACAAACATGTGGATATAAAGATCGTTAAAATTCGAGATCGTATGAAGAAGTTACGATATTCAGAACACAAGACCTAAGTCAAACCACAAGACCTAAGCAACCAAACAGCCGAGACCGCGGTGACCATAAGCATCAACATCCTCAAACATCTCATTATAGATTGTCCCACATAGGTTGTCGTGAGCAAAATCTGAAAAACCGGTCATAAATACTAAATATGTACAAAAATAACAAAAACTTATTTTGCAACAAAAAATATAATGACTACATATGTACAAAATGAGATATATATATTACTCTAATAAGTCATTTTTCCCGGCTTACGTAGAGCAGCCGGTCATAAGGAATGAACGTCTACAGTTTAGACTAGTTGAATGGGTAATGTGGACGGAAAATAATTCAGTGACTAAATATGTACAAATCAAAAATATATTACCATTGTAAGTCATTATCCAAAATTTAAGGGCAAAATAGTATTTTTATTTTTTGCAGGGACCAAAAACACAATAAAATCATATAATAAGGCGAGTCTAAGGACAAAAATAAATAAATAAATAAAAATTAAGTACCATACACGTAATTTTAACAAACAACAGAGAAGATTTTAGTAATTTGTTATGTTTATTTAAAATTTAAACGTGTAAAACTAATTAAGTATGATTATTCTTCCCCGTTTATATCTGCAAGAATGTTTAAAATCTTTTCCTTTCAAGTTTCTAGATTCAAAGGGTGTAACTTGGCGCCAGAAAAAGCATAAGAATTCAATACCTTCCTTCCCTTCCATTAAAGAGCAATGAAGGTGGACCCTCAGTGAACATTGAACACCATCGCCATATCTCGTCCTCACACCAACCAAGTCCAGTCACACACAGTCGACGAAGAAATGGGAAGAGCATTTCGTTATGTGATAATTGGTGGAGGCGTCGCAGCCGGTTATGCCGCTCTCGAATTCACAAAGAAAGGTGTCTCTCATGGTGAACTTTGTATCATCTCCGACGAACCTGTAATTTTCCGTCAATATTTTGCTTCTTTCTTACAATTTCAGTTCCTAAAATATCCATACTCGACCATGTGGAGTATGCACACCAGGTGTTTGATGTTTTGCTTATTGTCCATGATTGATTAACTGTGGTATCTCTTTAATACTTTTTTGCAGGTAGCTCCCTACGAGCGACCTGCACTTAGCAAAGGGTTTCTACTTCCAGAAGGTCTTTGCAATTGCATTGACTCCGTTATAAAATATGATGTTATTTTTGGAAAGTTCTGACTTTGTGTAGTATTGTGGTTTTTTGATGAAGCTCCTGCACGTCTCCCTGGCTTTCATACTTGTGTTGGTGCTAATGAAGAAAGGTTAACACCCAAATGGTACAAAGAACATGGTAAATCTTTCTAATAGTAACCTTGATTATATACAAATTGATATCAATTTTTACTGAAAATTATGTCGAAAATATGGGTAATGTTTTTTGAATATTCATCAGGAATTGAATTAATTCTGGGAAACCGAGTTGAGTCTGCGAATGTGAGGCGTAAAACACTATTGACAACAATGGGAGAAATCATTACCTACGAATTTCTCATAATTGCAACCGGTTCTCGGGTAATAGAACCTAATCTAACACATAGAGGTGTCAATTTTGACGTATTTGTTGGGAGAATAGCCTCAAAAATTCCCAACCACCAAACCAATGAAAAATAAAATTTAATTCTTTTTTTTTTTCTGTTATTTTAGAGTGTACAAAGGTGTGAGTTGAATCTTTGAAGTGGATAGGTGTAATTTGGGGTTGGTTTAAAAGATTAGTTTATGTGATTATAACAATTTGTAATATAGTGAATTTTCTCTCTTGTGGGTTTTCTCCGGTTTTAGGGTTTTCTATATATATTATTGTGTTAAATTTTCTTTTAGTTGGCTGTGTGGAAATCTTTTTTTCCGAACATATAATTATTTTATAAAATATAATACATAATACATATAATCTCATTTAAAAAAAAAAGCTCAATATCTAAAACCCAACCTCAATCTCGTTCCGCTCCAGCTACCAAGGGTCATGCCTTTAACTAGCCGAGACTCATTAGCTCAGCTCGTTTGCAACCTTACGTGACTAATCCATTTTTGCCACCTTTATGCAAAATAGTCAAAAATAATAATAATAATAATAATAATAAAATAAAAAATCGTATCCTATATTTTACTAATAATTTGTATGGATTGAGTGTAGGCTGTGAAACTTGAGGAAATTGGAATAAATGGATCGGATGCTGAAAACGTATGTTATCTACGCGATTTAGCCGATGCAACAAAGCTTGTGAACGTGATGCAAAAGTGTAGGAATGGAAATGCAATCGTGATTGGAGGTGGATATATCGGAATGGAATGTGCTGCTTCTTTGGTGATAAATAAGATCAATGTTTCCATGGTGTTCCCTGGGCCATATTTCAGTAAGTACTTCCAGTAATTATATAAAATTTCTTAAGCTTTATAAATAATAATGTATTAAAATATGATTATAAGAACTATGCTAACACAATAATAATATAACTTTTGTGTAGTACATTTATTTTGAAAATTGTAACTAAGAGAACAAACTTTGAATGATTCTTAACACATTCGACCATTTGACCTGTTTCATTTCTAACTATGTTTTACAAATTTTACATGTTTGTCTCATCGAAGACAATAAATTTGCTTTCTTGTATTTTATTTTTTGGTTTCATCATAGTTTTTGGTTAATTTAGTATTTTTTTTTCCCTATAGTGGGTAGATTATTTACGCCCAAGATTGCGAGCTATTATGAAGATTTTTACAAGTCGAAGGGGGTCAATTTTATCAAAGGCACATCCGTGTCATCTCTTGTGTTCAACTCCGAAGGGAAGGTAAGTTAATGGGGAAAACTCACTTGTGTCACACTAATTTCTTTCATCTAATGTGTATTTCAATTCATAAATAATTAATATATATACTTGAAAATTTTCATTTTTTTCTAGTAAAACAACTTAGGAGATTGTAATCTTTAAATGTATCCCTTATGCATTATGCCCTAGGGTGTAGCATAGACCTTATAGTTGGTTCCTACAACTAAAAGTTTCAATTCCAATATGTATTAGGTTTTTTTACATGCTTTTATGTATGCTTTTCATCTCACACAATGCTTTTGACCATGTAAGGGTTGCAAAAAAAAAAAACGTTTTGCAAAATCACTTTGAATATTTTTTGGATGACTTTTAAATTGTTCAAGCCAATTTTTAGTTAAAATTTTTTATCCTTATCTAGTTAACATTTTCATAATTAAACAATTAAAATTGCTCCCAGGTAACGGGAGCAAATCTCAAGGACGAGCGTCAGCTTCCTGCCGACATGATTATCGTAGGAATCGGCGCCCGTCCCAACACAAACCTCTTTACCGGCCAACTCACTTTTGAAAAAGGAGGAATAAAAGTAAATAGTCAGTTACAATCAAGCAACCCCTCAGTTTACGCAGTCGGTGACGTGGTGTCTTTTCCGGTCAAATTTTACGGTGACAACCGAAGGGTTGAACATGTTGATGCCGCCAGGCGAACCGCTAAGCATGCAGTGTCTGCAATAATGCACCCAAAAAACACCCCAGGATTCGACTACTTGCCATTTTTTTATTCTCGAGTGTTCTCGTTGTCTTGGCGGTTTTATGGAGATAATGTTGGGGAAGTGGTTCATTTTGGTGATTTTAATGGGACTAAATTTGGTGCTCTATGGCGGAGTAATAGTTGTTTAGTTGGGTGTTTTCTTGAAGGTGGAGGAGATGATGATTATGTGGCGATAGCTAAGGCCGTTAGAGATAAAGCGGCGGTGGCGGATTTGGGTGAGCTTGAGAGGGCGGGGTTGGGTTTTGCGGTGGAGGTGAACCGGAAACCGCCACTATCGCCGCCGGTTTGTGGAGGTGGTTTAAAGAAACCGGTGTATGTATTGTGTGCAACTTCTGCTTTTGTTGTTGCTGTGTTTGCATATTTGTATGGAAGTAGGTGGGTGTAGAAGGTAAACATGGTGTGGGTTGTGTATACAAAATGAAACTCTGGTTTATTAATAAATGAGTTTGACAATTAAATATATGGGCATTTGGTCTAGTGGTATGATTCTCGCTTTGGGTGCGAGAGGTCCCGAGTTCGATTCTCGGAATGCCCCTTTTTTTATCTTAGACGATGAATTTGCAAGTGGGTTTTAACTAATTTCGTGAGTTGGGCAATGGGCTTTAATGACGAATTGACGATGTCAACCCTTTTACTCATCAATGGATAAATAACTAATTCAATGCCTTTGTTTAGGAATTGTATTATTTAACTACATTTAAACAAATGTATACTTGTTATCGTAACGAAATAACAATTTTAATATTAAATTAATATAACTGTTATAATCTTAAAAGGTATGAAAGAGTTGTAATAGCTATAACAATTCAGTATAATTAACAAAAATAAAATTCAAGATTAATATGGTCTAAGTTAATATTTATATCAAATCAAACGATCTCAATTACATTCACTCACAACTTGTGCGTAAATAAAATTATTTATGATTTTCGGTTTAATTAACAATTGTTAACTAAATTAATTTAGAAACTACCCATATTTTAATTTCTCAAATTAGATCGTTACGTTTTTTTATAATATCAACCGGTTTCAAGTTAACGCAATTTTCAGTTAAAAATATAACAAAAACCTCTAAAGTATGGGATTAATTTAACACGACTCGTGGTCGATCCCAAAAGAGACCACACCCAAGAACGTCATTTGACTCATTTCCGACCAAATCTCATGCTAAGTAATATGTGGTCTAAATAACCTAAATCTAGCGAACCATTCACCATCTACAAGTCCACTTTGCAAACTATGAATTTCTTTTCCTTTAGGCTATCCAGCATGGGAACCAAAAAGACGCGTGAGAGCCTACGTGGACGGCCAAGTCACGCGTGAACACCGCTCCGATGTCCGGTGGCTTGGTTGTGATAGGGTTGCAAAGACGGGCCAAGACGAACAATGACATTAGAGTTTCATTTTTTGACTGTTGTTGTAGCCCGTATGAAGGGAATAAAAATAAATTCTTTCAAATTTAAAATTAATCTCTCTATATATACATACACTTTACACATTACATCTAACAAACACATACTTTCAACAAAATTGATAACTTTTTAGGTTCAATTTCTTCTTTATCCGATGATGATGATTCTAATGACGAGTTGATTTTACACACGTTGTCCACGACACAAGACATGGTACGTCAGAGAGCCGAAATTTCAAATGTCGAGAAGAAGCATAGAAAATTGATCAACAGGGATCGTATCGTGGCAAACGAACTTTTGGTACGTGATTACTTTGCTCATGATAGTTTATACAATCTATTGAAATTCAAAGACTGTTTTCGTATTAGTAGAGAATTTATTCTTACGTTTAGCTAGAGATTTGGAAAATAATTATGATTATTTCCAATTGAGATGGGATGCTAGAGGTAAATGTGGTTTTACTACAATACAAAAATGCACAGCCGCTCTTAGACAATTCGCATATGACATAGCCGCAGACGTATCAGATGAGTATTTGAAAATGTCTAAGCGGAAGGGTTGAGAATGTACATATCTTTTTTGTGAGTATGTTATAGAGTTTTACCGTGACATATACTTGCGACATCCGACTAAAAGTGATGTCGAACAGTTGTATGTCGTGCATCAAGCAAAACATGGTTTTCCAGGATGTTTAGTACATTGATTGTACACATTGGGAGTTGGAAAATTGTCCCAACGTATGGCAAGGTAAATTCACGCAGGGTGATCATGGGGTGCCGACTGTTATATTAGAGGCAGTTGTTTCACATGACCTATGGTTTTGGCATGCATTCTTTGGTATGGCGGGGTCAAACAATGACTTGATGTGCTTGGAGCATCTACGTTATTTAACAACATTTTGCAGGGTAAAGCACCAAACATGTCACACGTTATGACTGGAAATGAATATAACTATGGGTATTACCTTGGTGATGGGATATATCCAGAGTACGCTACATTTGTCAAGTCATATTCATATACGACCGATGAAAAACGAAAATTGTTCAAGTTAGCATAGGAATCTGCAAGGAAGGATGTGGAACGGGTGTTTGGAGTCGTCAACAAAAGTGACACATAATCAAACGTCCGACACGAATATGGGATAGGGAAAAATTGATGACGGTATTGACTGCTTGTGTTATTGTACATAACATGATAATAGAAGAGTATAGTGCTATTTGTACATATAGCACTATACTCTTCTATGATAATAGAAGAGTATAGTGCTATGATAATAGAAGAGTATAGTGCTATTTGTACATATAGCACATACTCTTCTATGAAGTATGATAATAGAAGAGTATAGTGCTATGATAATAGAAGAGTATAGTGCTATTTGTACATATAGCGCGAACGATACGCTTAATCCACCTCAATAATACAAGTCGACAGTCTGACATACTTCATAACGGTTTTGGAAATATAAAACTGTGAAACACATCACAATCTACGACATGATTTGACTGAGCACATATGGGAAATGCAATTCCAATAGCAAAATGACAATGAAGACAAAGAGAATGAGAACGGTGACGAGGAGGAGGATGAGGACGCTGACAATGAAAACATGGTCGGTGACGAGGAGGAGGATGAGGACGACAACGACGTCGATAAGAATAAAAGAAAATGGTTGTTCTTCTGCACCCTGATAAAAATAAAACCAGGGGAGCAGATGAAGCTTTTAAATTTGTTTCAGAATCATGGAGTGTTCTTTTTGAGAACACAAAAAGAAACTTGTACCATCTCCAAGGAAGAAGAACTACAATGTGTTGTTGGCTCCGATTAATGTCAAAAGTAAGAAATCAAACGTTAGTTGGTCCAACCCGACCTGCACCTCGTACAGTTGAATCAATATCATCGATCTCAACGACTTCATGAGTGATTATCTTCTCAATAGACATCTGCCCAATTCTATCACCCGATTTCACTTCAAAGTCAATATCAGAATGGCTGAATGAGACCAAATCTCGAAGCTACAAAAAAATGAGTTGTAATCTGTAAGAACACAACCCTAGTATACTATATCAAAATCAATCAAAGAAGGAATGAATGTACTTTTCGAAATAAAGGATCTCAAGAAACAATTTTTGAGTCAAATTAGGTCATAACAACAATAATTGACTACCGAATTCACAAAAGCATAGATTCAACTAGCTCTTAAAGTACCTAGATCAGATTAAAGAAGAAAAATACCTCAACTTACCAGAACTTCCCCGATGGTTTTGGTGAATTCAATATCACCTAATATTCAACAGCCAAAAAGGGGAAATGGTTGCAACCAATCAAAAATTGTGTGGTGCAAAAAAATCATCTCTTTACAAGGTTACTTGTACTAGTAAAATCTTTACTATCATGTTGAGCCAAGAAATGAATAAAACTCTAATCAAACCCGATATACTTTAGGCAGAAGCTGGAGGAGAGGCGAAACATGGCTGTGAGAAGAACGTATACTGAATTTGGGGCACCAGCAGGTAGATCGTATATTACCAAATTCCGAAAATTTGTTGGGTCATCAATTTCACCTCCTACTTCCCGACACCATTCTTCATATTTAAACATGCGTACATCCAAGGAAATTTATCGGAGTAGAGGTCTTTGGTTATTATAGATGAGCAGAGGTGGTTTTTGTATAGATTAGAGCAGCTGATGTTGGTTATAGATTAGAGGTGGTGAACAGGGGCTGCTTGATGAGAGAGAGAGAGAGCCTTTTTTTATTTTTTAATTATTAAAATAAATAAAATAAGTATTAGATTTTAAAAAATGAAAGAAAAATAGAAAATAAATACCCCAAAGGTATTACAGTCATTTCAGTTTACTGATTGACCAAATCTGCAACGAAACTAGCCCAAAAAGACCACGAAGCCAAAAAAAATCAAGGTTTGGACTAAAACTCGGAAACAATACATACCACATGGACCATTTTGTAGTTTTGCCTAAAATTTACTATAAGTATTAATGTATTTGTTATGGTTTGTATTAAACTTTATTATGATTTGTAATGTATAAACGTTTGTAATATATAAACTTTTATTTAGAAAAATAAAATGTATTCGAAACATTAATATAGTTAAAGGGATAGTATGACATATTATTAAGTATAAAGGGGTTATATGATAAAATCAACATAGTATCTTGACCACTCGATATATATTGAGTGGTCAATAAAAAAAATCAAATAAGTCATGTACTCCAATGGGATTGAGCACTTATTTTAAAAAAGTAAATAGTAATAAGTCATAAAAAATGCCCATCCGGAGATACTCTAAGAATGTAGATTAGATTCATCAAGATCTGTTTTATTCATACTACATTCCCACGTCATTTTTTTTAATTTCCTCCGAAGTAAAAGAACCTCCAACAAAAAGCATTTACCATGCATAAATTTTTTGAATTTGGTGGAGCTTTAAATCGTTTGGTGAAATTACGGCTAAATTTAGTAGCAAAAATGAAAAGAAAACGTTTTTTACTACTTGGGGATCATCATTCCAAACACCATTAACCGAGACACCATGAATAGCAATATGACATATTTGCCTATTCAATATACCATGAAAATAAGGAGAATTTCCATGTCCTTCAATATCCCACTTGACTTTTACCTTTTGTCTTTCGAGCTAATTAAAAGTCATTAATAGATGAGTCACCCATGCAGATATTACGAAGTTCAATCTCTATTTGGAATGCCTTATTTTCATTATTAGTGCGAAAAAGATCTTCTATACTTTGCCATAAACCGTGAGCAATGGATTTCTTTTTCAAAACCATGTGAAGAAGAGATTGAGATAAATTTCTATATATCCAAGATTTAACAATAGAATCAACCCTATTCCATTCTTTAGGATTGACAGATACATGTTTTTCTTTGAGGTCTGAGGAAGAAGAGGTTTTGTCATAGGGGGCTTCAAGATGATCATCAACACTGAAACCAATACAGTGGGTTTCAAATAGTTCCCTCCGAATATCATAATTCTTATGATCTAAATCCAAAACAAGAGGCACTGCATTCTTGATGTTAACTGTAGACGAAG